GGGCTTACTAGCGATTCTGGGGTTAGTTCAGGGGATTAACTTATGGTTTTGCCTCCATTTATATGTGCCACCAACATATCTTTCTTTCTTTCTTTGCTCCACAGAGGTTTCCTACACCAACCATTTCTTTTCTTCAAGTTATGCATCCGCAATGGGCTGACCTTCTCCTGAGTCCCATCATCAATACCACAATTTCAAAGTTGATTTCCATTGCTGCTGAGCAAATCAGCCTTGCTGTCGGCTGGAAGAAGGAGCTTGAAACGCTTCAGAACAAACTGCGCATGATCAAGGATGTGTTGCTGGACGCAGAGGAGAGACATGTGCGAGACCGTGCTGTGAAGGGTTGGCTTGAGAAGCTCAGGGATGTGGTTTGTGAAGCTGATGATGTACTGGATGAGGTTGCTTACGAGAGTGAGAAGTGCAAGGTGGAGAATCAAAACCAAAAGCTGAAAAAGGTGCATAAATTCTTTACCTCCAATCCCTTGCTATTTCGTAGTGAGATTGCTGGGAAGATTAGGAAAACTATTGCATCGGTAGAAGCTATTAATAATGAAGCGAGAGAGTTTGGACTCCAAAATAGACTTGCTGGCACAGTGGTTTCTGAGCATAGAAGAAACGCACAGACCCATTCCACTATTGGTGATTTATCAGAGGTTGTGGGGAGAGAGGATGATATCTCCAAAATAGTGCACCTCCTAACTGACTCATCTAATGAGTTACGCCTTTGTGTATTCTCTTTAGTGGGTATGCCAGGTCTTGGTAAAACCACTTTAGCACAAGCAGTGCGTAATGACGAGCGAATCAAAAACTATTTTGGTAAAATAATGTGGGTTTGTGTGTCGGATAATTTTGAAGTAGAGAAGATTTTAACAGAAATGTTGGAGTCTCTTACTGGGAATTCTTGTACAATAAAAAACAAAGACACTGTGATTCAAAAAATAAGAGAAACCATGGGGGAGAACAACTTTCTTCTGGTACTGGATGATATGTGGGATGAAAAGAGTCATGGGAAATTTGAAGACTTGAGAAATTGTTTGCTTGGGATATGTAAAAACTCAAGGAATAGAGTTATTGTGACAACGCGAGATGAAAGGGTTGCATTGAAAATGAGAATGCATCATGAACACATGCATCGTCTTGGGAAACTACAAGATGCTGACTGCTGGTCTATTATCAAGAACAGAGTATTTGGAAATGCTTCTATACCTCCAGAATTGAAGAACGTCGGATGGGATATTGCTCAATTATGTGGAGGTGTGCCATTAGTTGCAAGGGTTATAAGAGGCATTTTGTGTACAGAAAGGTTGGACAGAGTTACGTGGTTGTCAATTAAAAGGAAGATTGAGGCACTGGGTCCACTTGAACATGATGTAGAAAGCACAGGTGTGATAAAATTGAGTTTTGATCACTTGCCAGAGTCAGCTTTAAAGCAATGTTTTGCATTTTGTTCTATTTTTCCAAAAGATTTTCTTATGGAAAAAGAGATGTTGATTCAGCTTTGGATGGCCATGGGATTTCTTCAATCTACTGAAGAAAGTCTTATGACAATGGAAGATATCGGTAATAAGTATGTAAATGACTTATTATCATATTCCCTCTTTCAAGAACAGCAAAGAAATTCATTTGGAACCCTTATTAGTTGCAAAATGCATGATTTAATTCATGATTTTGCACAATTAATTTCAAAATCTGAGACAATGATTTGGAAGTCTCAAAGGAATATTCCTAATGTTCGGAATTTGAATCTCATTTATGGTGTGGGAACAGTAACAACAAATTTAAGAGATATTGCTCCAAAGTTGCACACTTTGTTTTTAAAGGGTGATTTTTCCAATGATATGAAGATGGATCTTAGAAGTTTACGAGTTTTGAGTTTTGTTGATTCTGTTGATACTGAACAATTGCCACCATGTTTTGGCAACATGAAGAATATGAGGTATTTAGATATTTCAAGAACTCGGATAACAAAACTGCCAAAGTTCATCCCCAAGCTATACAAATTGCAAACATTTAGATTCATGGCTTGCAGATCTCTAGAAATGCCTCCTGAAGGAATTGGAAGTTTAATCAACTTGAGGCATATATACTTTAGTGATGAAGAACAGATGCCCGCAAACATTGGGAAACTAACGTGTCTTCAAACATTGCCAAAGTTCTTTGTAGGCACAACAAAGGGACGCAAAATTGAAGAATTGGGCAACTTGAGATGGCTCAGAGGAAGTTTGAAGATCTGTAATCTTGAGCATGTTAAGGACAAATCAGAAGCTATGGGAGCAAAGTTAACTGAGAAGACAATTTTTGAGTTGAGATTAAGATGGGGAAAAGAAAGCAATCAAGATGAAGATGTTTTGGAAGGTCTTCAACCACACTCAGATCTGCAAGTATTAGAAATTGATGGTTATGGAGGCAAAAACTGGTCATCATGGATGTCAAAGAATGTTTTGAATTGTGATATGTTTTTGCTCAAGAATTTGGCAAAATTGAGAATTGTGCAGTGCAAAAAGTTAGAAAGTATTCCAGTAATAACAGGATTTTCATCTCTTCAGATGCTTTCCATTTCAAACTGTACTGAATTGAGTACTATAGCCGAGGGAGCATTTGCTAAATTGGCATCCCTCAAAGAATTACACATATCCAATTGTCCCAAGTTGGAAAGGGTTTCATCAAATGGTTTAATATTGCCTCAGTCACTCTTAATTCCAGATTGCAGAGAGTTGAATAGCCTATCAACCGCCACATGTCTAAAAGTTCTAAATTTGCGTGGCTGTAAAAATCTAAGGTCTATTCCAAATCTATGGGGGCTTAGTTCTCTTGAAAAGGTAATATTTAAGCGTTGTGGATTAGAGCATCTACCCAGCGGACTATCATCTTGCATCGCTCTTAAGAAATTGAAAATATCGAAATGCCATAGCCTGATCTCCATTCCAGAAGAATTGAAGGAAATACATTCTTTGGTTGATTTGCGGATTCAATGGTGTTCAAAACTGAGGAGCATCCCAGAAAATACCCTCAATTCCCTTACCAGCTTGAAGACATTGATTATTGGTGGTTTCTCAGAAGAATTGGAGGAATTTCCTGGTCTCAGTGCCATCCACAGCCTCCAAGCCTCCCTTGAACGCTTGGATTTGATTGGATGGGAAAAACTAACTGAGTTTCCACATCAAATTCAAAACCTAAACCTTACTGCCCTAAAATGGGTGACAATAGCAGATTTCAGGGAAGTGGAGACATTACCGACTTGGTTCGGAAACTTATCCTCTCTTAAATCACTATGTATTTGGGAATGCCTTCGATTAAAGTATCTACCAAGTGGGCTATCATTCTTCACTACTCTCGAGTGGCTTGGGATATACAGATGTCCTAATCTGGTCTCTGCTAACTTAGAGGAGATCCTCAGCAGCCTTGCTTGCTTGAAGACATTATGGATCGGTCCTTTCCCAGAAGAGTTGGAGGAATTCCCATGTCTGAGTTCCATTCACAACCTCAGCACTTCCCTCGAAGAATTGCGTTTGTGTGGTTGGGCAAAGCTAATTCAGTTGCCACATCAAATTCAACACCTCACAGCTCTAAGGATTTTGTTTATATTTTATTTCCATGGAGTAAAAGCTTTGCCAGAGTGGTTGGGAAACCTGTCATCTCTTCAAGATCTGTGCATTGAGAAGTGTGAGAATCTGAAACATCTCCCTTCTGCAGAATCCATTCGACGCCTCTCCAAATTGAAATTCCTTAAGATTTCGAAATGCCCTGAGTTAGAGACAACATGTCACAAGGAAGGCGGTTCAGAGTGGTACAAGATTTCTCACATTCCAACCATCAGAATAAATGGAGAGGACATATAATCACAAGATTCAAGTTTCCAAGAGGCAAATGGTATGTCTCATCTCTGGAAGCCCAATTCCTATTTTATTTTTCTTGTAATTACACATTTTGAAATTTATGAATTCCCACAACTAATTCTCTCCTCATTCTATCAGTATTGTCAATTTATCAATTAAGATGAACTTAATGTTATCACATTTTAACTTCAGGTTTTTACATATTAATTAGAAGTTTCCTTTGTTTTTCTACATATATATATATATATATATATTTACCTTATTCCATTTCTTTTACTTTATGTGTAGCTGAAGAATAGATAATCGGTTGATTGGGAGGAAGATTTCTAGAATTCAGAAATGAACTCCAATGACAAGAACCTATTAGCTTCTAGCTTTTGGTAATTAACTAAGTTTGTGAATTATAGTTGTGTTCTTTGCAATTATGTCAGTATTATTTGAAAACTATCTGTTGCACATGGAACTAATATCCATATTAGTTAGATTTTTTCTCATTGCAAAACATGTTGTTGTGAAGCAGAGAGTTGCATTACAGTAACAGCACAGGGGGATTTCATTTTTGGTTGGGCAGCGGAAAGTTGTAAGAGGCGATCTTCATCCAATAAGTTGGGCAATGGCTCACGAATGGTAGAAAAGTGGCTTCACCATGGGAAACTCATTCTAGTATGCTTTCTAGATTTTTATGACTCTTAATTACCATTTGAATGTGAGCGAGGTTTTACGGTAAAACTTGCTTCTTTTGAAATGTTTTTGATAATACAGGATGTTCTTGGAGGTGCTCAATTTTAATCCATAGGAAAGATTCCTTGTATCTTTCATGTGTGTTCATTAAACGAAAATTATTGCAGGTAAGAAATTGAGCCAATTTTCTACAAGTTATAATTCGTTTAAAAGGCATATATCCTGCTTCCATTCCTCAGCATCAGCTGTATAGTATGTACAGATTTGAGTTCTTGGATATGCTCTCTCACTTGTTTTTTATGAATGATTTTTGATACAAAACCATTAGAAAAGAATTTGTTTTAATGTTTGACTTTGAGAATCTTATATGAAAACCGGTGCAATTTAAGATTACTTGCATGTTTATGTAGTAGAAGTCTTCTATGCAGTGGGGATGTGAAAACCAAGCCCATGTTGGATACTTGTAACATTATCTTGGATGACATCTGCTTGAATAGTAACTTGATCAGCCTCAAAGATAATTTGCTTGGGCTTCAACTTAATACAGAAGTTATCAATCATTTGAATACACCTTAACCACAAAATATTTCAATTGGTTATGCAGTGATCTTAATTCACTTTATGCATTAAGGGACGGACTTACAGGGATTACTGCAGCAAGAGGCAATTTAAGAGGGGTGTTCTTGTTCTTTAGGTTCTTTGTTTGATCATGGTGGAGAATCATTATACAACGCTTTCTTAAATGAGAGGTGTATTTATTTATTCTTATTCCAATTCTTTTTTATGTTTAATTTATGTTTGGAAAAAACTTGAGACAGTCATTGTACTATTCATTTTTAATAATGGATTTTGTTGCAGTTTTTGTCCCAAGGGTTTTCCCTCCACATTGGAGGTTTTCTACATAATTTTTGTGTTCTTTGCTGTCTATATTTTCTATGGTGCCTAATATATTTATATGGGGGTAATATATTTATATGGCGGTCATTGTCATCCATACTCAAATGTTATTGGCTTGATTGGAATCTGGTAACCTGGGCTTCCGTGGGGTAATCTGGCATCATCACATTCTTGCTGATGAACATATTATGTTAATGATCAAGCTTAGTGACTAGTCGAGCTTGAATCATTTAATAAAGTTCAGCTCATTTAACAATCTTAATTTTGAATTTGGGATTTGATCTTGGTTAGAACATAAGGCTCAAGCTGAGAATATTAGTTCAATTTGACCTGGAGCAAGGGGATTTTACCTTTTAGCAGAGTAAATGCAGAATCTCCTCGGACCACCTCGCTTTGTGTTCTAAATTTGACAATCAGCTAATACCAGCAATGTACCGTGAAAACAAATGTAAATTACTTCCACTGAGCCCATTTGGGAGATTCTACCGATCTTCTCTTCATATTTGGTGAAACAGAATTCCCAGCATAGTCATGCCACACCATCTTCATTTAGCAGAGACAAAGGAGATTGTTAATGGAATTTGAAAATTGAATTGGTAAAATCTCGGGCTCCAAGCTACAAACTGGATTCTGGCTTGGACAAGAAGGAAACAAAAGCAGCAAGCTAAACGAGGAATATTTTCATGTTCCTGAACAGTCTAATGTCATGAAAAATCAGAGGTTTTAAAAGAAAGAAGGTTAATAAGATATATAGGGAAGGACATTAACATTAAGCATATTTCATGTGTTCAAGTGTTCACGTAAACAGTTTATATGAACATATCTCTCCAACTATTACTGTATCACCTTCTTTTACACCAAGCTTCATAGGAGAACGATGTGTTGGAACCTTTTCTGAGAATCCATATATCTGGTTCAAAAGAATTACACAGGTTATATCAAAAGTTGTAAAAGGGAAGTTCAATATGAGCCAGAAAAACTTCCTAATTAAGTATATTAGAGCAACTGAGCCAGCATAAGTTGCCGTTCGGTGGTACTTTGAACTGAGGCTTTGTAACTCAAGTACTCCTAAGATTACATTTATAAGTTGGTTTCTCCCTCCCTATCTGTGATTCACAAAGGAAGTTAGTGCTTAGAATTGCAGGGATCAAAACCCTTGACCTTGACCCCAAAATCAAGGTTTTTGAAGTTAGTGGCTACCAACTCGGCTAAAGCTTTTGTTGGTTAAGTTGGTTTTTCTTTGACATGAAAATGATTCCATTTTCATGAATGTGCGTTTCAGGACATGATGTGCTTTGGGATGAATCAGGACAAAATAGAAATGCATGATGGCAAGGGAAGTAGGATAGCAGATTTGGTAGCAAGGCTACAATCAAAGAAAGAAGTTCAAAATCCTACTGCCAGTTTGTCACCTGAACAATACGTTGTAATCGTGCTCCAATTACCTAACAAGTATTTGAACTATTGTCATGAATGATCTCAAATTCATCAACAGAGGCACTAGGCTGCTTATCTACCATGTCAGCCACATAATTCAGATCTTGTGCTATCAAAGCTAAGTAGATGGACTAATCAATATTGAACATCAAGGGATGCACAACAAGATTGCATATTCTAGAAATTAGAAAATGAAACAAATGCTGCCATATAAAAGTATGACCTACAAACTCCTTATTGGATTCTTTACTTTTTGGAAGAAGCTCATAACCAGCACAGACAACTTCAAGTGTGCCTTCTCTACTCACTGCATGCAAAGAGGTTCGATTCCCTGACCTTGTGGGCTTTGTTCAAATGAATTCCAATTTTCATATTCCTCTGGAAGATCCATTTTTATAAAGGCAACTATATAAGGCTTCTCAACAAGTTCAGGACTAAACATTTCCAGCTCAAGACATACAGCAACACAAATTTATCCCGAGATAGAAAAGGACTTACATTTCCGGACCATTTTTGTCATACTCAGCCAACCTGGGGACCTTATTGATGCCAGACTTAAATGAGGCGTTTCTTCGGCCACCTCTCCCACCAGGAAGTAGCAGTGTCCTCTGTCCAGGATACAACAGCGCCAACAAGATCTCCTCCCTTCCCTGCCTCTCTAATCACAATCCTGGGCGCCACCTTCGCCACCATGTCCTCTCTCTTGGCCGTGCCCTTCTCTCCCAGCCCTAAAATCCACCCCATTCCGTAAAGGCAACAGAGAATTCATAGCTGCATCCACCTCCACATACACATTCCCTCCCCTTCCGGAAGGAGGAGCAGAGGGCGAGAGGCGTTTATACTTGGCAGTCCTTTTAGGCCTAAACTTGGAGTTGGGGGCTCGCCTCGGGGAGTGCATCTGGGCTCTGAAGCGAGCAAAGCAGGTCGTGGTTATGGATATAGAGATGGAAGCCATTCTCGTTCTGAGTGAGAAAGGGCAGTGGCAAATGCCGGAGGTGTACTTTGACTTTGACGGGTTTTACGGTGTTATACGGTATCGTTTGCTTAGATATCGTGGAACTACTGTAGCAGTGTTTTCATCGGTCAAAATGAAAATAGGTAAAGGGCACTGGATTGGCTGCAATTTCCGATTATGAGCACAAAATTAAAAATTTTCATGCAAGGACAAAGAGAGAGAAAGGAGATAGATTAGAGTGAACAAGGAGGTTATTGTGAAAGAGATTATTGTGATTTTTTTATTTTATTTTATGATACTTTTATTGTTTTTGAATGAAATAAATGATTCAATTGTAAGAAATCAGAAACTATGATATTAAATTGTAAATTTTTTTAAAGTTTAGAGATCAAATTACAAGAAAAAGAGTTTAATTGGGAACCAAATTGAAAAAGTAAGAAGTATAAAACCTAAAGTGTGAATTTGATACAAGTAGATGGACCAAAATTACAAGCAAGATAAGATCCTTCTGTTAAAAGTAACTACCACGAAGATAAAAACTTAATAGATGAACCGCTGACGACTTAATTGAATTAGTAGGAATTTTTTTAAATAAAAGTAATAAATTTTAAATTTGAATTAACTAACACACAATTAAAATGGATTAAGTGGTTGGAAATAGTTATATTTTATTATATAATTAAAAAAAATCTTAATAAAGGGACAAAACAAATTATCAAATACTTGTCCTTTATATCCAATTAAATGTTTTTTTCTTGATTATTTTCACGGTGCGCTTGGATTTTTTCATCCTTCTATTACTCAACGCACTGTCAATCATAATCATATGATATGATTATGATTTTAAATTTTAAATTTTAGTTTTTATAAACTTTATAAATTTGAACAAAATAATTTATTTATTTATATTTATTTTTCAACACAGTATTACTATTATTAGAAAAATTATATATACATGGTTTTAACATCACTAAACAAATTTATATTTTTTGTTATAAAAAAAGTCTTTTATAGAGTGAATTGTACATTAAAAATATAATTTATTTTATGAATTTATTAAAATATTATTAATGAAATTATTTTTATATCATTTTATTAATAATATTTTAATAAATTTATAAGATGTACTATATTTTTAATATACAGTTCAAACTATAATACATGAATCTTTTTTTGTTATTAGTATTAAAATTAATCTTAAATAAATTTTTAGTTTTTAATTTTTAATTTTAATTTTTAAATTTCAATAACTATAAAATTTATAAAAACTAAAACTAAAAGTTTAAACCCATAACATATTGAACAGAGCCTCAATTTATCATTTTTTTTAAATAAAATCTCGTTATCATTTTTTTATATAAATATATCCCATGACAAAAATCCTAAGCAATAAGTTGACCCAAAAAAATGGAAAAAATTTAGAAAATACCACATGCTACAAGTTTAAGTGCCCACTTGACAATCCCTTGCCATATTAGCACTTAGGTGTAACCGTGTAAGGGGAATGCGGTAAAGCTAAAAAAAAACAGACGGCCATTTAACCAAGTGACAACACGTTAGTCTCGTCGTCAGCAGGCTAATTTCTCAAGATGGAGAGTTCAAAGGCTTGCTTATCACTTTTATTTTTTTTAGAGCTTATCTGAGAAAATAGGAAAAGTACAAGGGCTTAATACCGTGTTTCGCTCTTTTTATAGGAAAAAAGTGTAACACCTTCGGGTGTATGCATGTAAGGGTGG